TCACTCTCGACTGCTCTAATCCACCAGTATGCTCTCTGCTCTCAGACTCGAGGTAATGTATACTCGATCTCGTGTCACTGCCCTCAGGGGCCTCGGATTTGAATTACTGGTTCTTAGGGGAACAGGTGTGTTGTTATACCTCTCCCTGCCCCTCTTTCTTTCTCAACCTATCTATCTATATGCCTTGCAGCTCCCTCAAGGTCTACTACTGTATACAAGGCTGTAAAGCACGCACATGGAACCATATCTGAATCACTACACCTTTCTTTGTACTCGTACTGTCATCATACTCAATCTCATTCAAGTTGTCAACCCCTGGGTTCTTATTAATGCGACGCTACCCCCTAAGTTCGGGTTCCTGACGATCGAACATGTGCCGCTGGCCTTTAAATAGTGGGTCAGTACGACACGATTCATCAACATACCCTCTCTTTCTCTTCTCTCCCCCCCCTCCCCATCTGCGATGGCGGGCTCGAAAACTTCCAACATATCTAGCAGTCTCAGCAGCATCCGATCGTTGGGCTCTTCTGCTGCTCGCAAGGTCAAAGTAGCAGGTAAGAAGGCGCTCAAGACCGCTGTCAAGGCTGTCAAAAGTATGTGTCCCTTTATTTGACGAGCCTCTTCTCATTCTCCTCAAATGATAGGTGCCGTACCTACCCGATCGCGGCGAAACTCGAACGAAAATGACGAGGACAACGGTTCGTCTTCTACCTTTCTCATTTAGCGTTCACTGACTCCATATCTTGAAGATACATCGAAGAATCGCCTACGCTCGGGCGTATACCAGTTCTTTGAGCCGCCCGAGCTGCTCGAGGACGACGACGGTCGGCAATACCAGCAATTCAAGTGCGCCGCTCCGAAGGGCTGTACCAACAAGACCAAGGGCGTGTCGAGATTCCAAACTAACAAGGACGGCACCAGGGCCTCGGATCGCTCGTCAACGTCCAACTTAATGAAGCATGCGACGAAGTGCTGGGGAGCGGACGTCGTGAAGGTGCGGCTGAAGGGTGTTGAGGCGCAAGCGAAGGATGGCAGTATCTTCGCCGCTTTCTCGCGAGCCAGCGAACGCCCCGTCGCCCCGAGCGATCGTACACTTACGGAGGCAGAACTCAGGTGCGTCACCACCTTCCTTTACCATCTGCATCCTGACATACGCTAGGGCTCATATTGTGCGTTGGATTACGGAGAACAACCGTCCCCTCAGCATCGTTGAAGACCGTGAATTCAAGTATATTTTGGGTGCTGGACGTCCTGAATTTCGGCTGCCAGGGCGCCGCACTGTGGCGCGCGATCTTCACGCTGCATACGAACGCAACCGTGCTCACGTTCAGAAGTTATTGGAGGTATTTACCCGCATTCGTTGTCGTTATTCAAGTCCTGACCAAGCCGTAGGAATACCCCGGTCGCTTGAGCTTTGGTACAGACGCGTGGACGTCCCCCAACCATCGGGCCTTTGTGGCGTGGATAGTGCATCTTCAGCATGAGGGGGAGCTTCTGTCGTTTCCCATTGATGTTTACGAAGTTCCGGAGGTGCGTGGACTTTAGTTCATTGCTATTAGATCTCACTAATATTGCTACAGTCCCACACAGGTGACACGCTGGCACGAGAGTTCGACGATATGCTAGCCAGATTCAACATTCAGAACAAGGTATGTGTGTTGATAATTTTGTGCAGGACGAATGCTGATTCGGAGAAGATTTTGGCGTGGACCGGCGATAACGCGACCTCAAACGACACACAGAACGATGCCCTTGGCGAAAACCCGAACAACTCATTCGAGGCCATTAATCGAGTTCGTTGCTTCGCACACACACTCAACCTGGCTGTTTCAGCATTCCTTCGTCCGTTTTCCCCACCCAAGAAGAAGAAGAAGACGAATGTGGCGACAGGCAACGAGGAGGAGGACGAGGAGGACGAGGAGGACGAGGAGGATGGTACTGGAGCTAGCGCCTTTGTTCTTGAGGACGACGACGATCTGCCTGATCTTGTCTTGCTCTCGAGCGCCGATGGTGCGGACGAGGATGATGATGAGGACACCTCTGCTTGGGACTCACTGGATGCAGCGGAGCGGGCGGCATTGCTGAGGGAGACGGATTCCGTGAAGCAAGTTATTACAAGAGTATCGCTTCTTTCTGGTTCTTTAGTTCAATGCTCATAAGATTTTGTGCCAGATTCGTAAACTTGCGTTCGCCATTATTCACTCCACGACCATCGGACTTCCCGCCTGGCGTAAAGCCTGCACTGCTCATAAAATGCGACCCCGCCTTATCCCTCGGGATGTCCGAACGCGATGGAACTCCCTCTACGATATGCTTTCTGTGGCATTGGTTTACAAGGATGTTATTAACACCTTCACCGGCGACCGTGATTTGGGGTTCCGTAAATTCGATTTGACCAATGCACAATGGACGCTTTTGGAGGATATGCTGCACGTTTTAAAGGTGCGAGGCGTTCTATTAATTGATATAGCACTGCTGAAACTTTTCGGACAGGTGTTCAAGGATGCGACACTTTATTTCTCCAACGAGAACCATTGCACCATCACTCAGGTGCTCACAACTATGGACAAGATTGACGACCTCATCACTGCGACAGTCGTCATGTCTTCGATACAGCCAGCTGGCGCTCCGAAACGTACCCTCCACAGCTCTATTACGTCTGCTCTCAAGCTCGCAAAGTCAACCATGAACAAATACTATTCCCGCACGGATGATTCAAACATCTATCGGATTGCAATGAGTGAGTTCGAAAATTTGCACTGTACTCTAGCTGACCGCGAATCAAGTTCTTCACCCGAACTACAAATTTGAGTATTTCCGTTCCCGCAAATGGGAAAAGGCCTGGATCGACACCGCAGAAGCGCTTGTACGTGACGAATTTCAAACACACTATGCCTCCACTGCCAACGGCGATCATCAAGATGCAGAGGGTGGAAACGATGGCGACGCGGTAGGTTCTGTTACGTCTTGAAGATTCTAATTAATAATTCTTCTCAGATGAGCATGTCCTCAAGCCAAGTCGATTTTGACGACGCGTCAAATTGGCTTGAGGATATCCCGATGCCTGATTTGATCCAAGACACCGATGAGCTACAGGAGTATTTGTCCCAGCCTCCCGAGCGTACAAGGGTTAATCCCCTTCGCTGGTGGTGGGAGAAGCGCACCATGTGGCCTGCTCTTTCTCGGATGGCGTTGGACTACCTCAGCATCCCCGGTACGTGGCTAGCATCTATCATTTGCGTGTATATAGCTGACTATTTTTGTTTAGCTACATCCGTTCCCGTGGAGCGATTCTTCTCGCAAGGGCGTCACCTCCTCGTTTTCACACGCAACCGTCTGTCAGGCGATTCTATTCGGCGCTTCTTGTGCTTCGGGGGCTGGAGTAAACGAGACCTTGTCCGGATTGAGCATGTGGTGGGCACTGTAAAGATGGTAATGGGCCGTAAGTCTGAGGTAGCAGCTCCAGTCAAGCGCAGCACTCCCGATGACAAGCAGGAGGGAACGAGCTCGAAGAAATCTCGTAATAATTAGCAGGAGTACCCTACAGCTCTAAATACCCAGCTATATATTACTTTTCGAGAAAACCGGGCCCGTCTTTGCACTGGTATTGGTACCCGAACCCGTAACCCGAGCCAGACCCGTACCCGCGGGTTGGTAGGGATTCAACCCGCGGGTTCGCGGGTCGGGTTCCGACCCGTACCCCATGGGGTACGGGTATTTTCGGGTCAGGGTCCGGGTCAGCGCCTCCAGACCCGAACCCGTACCCGTGTCCAACCCTAGCAAAGCAACGTTAATTATGTTGAAGTGGGGTTTGGTAGTGTTTGGTTCAGACGGGTCCGCCTTCCTTATTTGTACTCTGTCACATATTTAGTCATGGTGTGACAATGTGACAGGGCTTTTCGCCTTCCATCTGGTGCTATATCTGCCTTTTCGGCTTCCATCTGGTGATCTCATTGCAACAAATTATCAAACTGAAGTACATGGCATATGTTAAGGGTTTATATAGCTAAGTCCTAATTGTATTCCTAAAAAGGTGCGAGTCAGGTGACCTGTCAGACATAACAATAATACGAGTCCCAAAGAGGATGGAGAAGTGATGTCGGAGAAATTGACAATAAGAGCATGGATTATAAAGACGGATAAACGGGAAACGCTCAGTAATCCTTCATTGTGTAAAAACCCGAGGATCCGCAATGGGTCCGAAGATGATCCGTCCGGTTCCGGGCTCCGGTACCGGACATGGACCAGAAGGTCAAGGACCGGGAAAGCATGGATATAACAGTATCACCACAATAAGATCTGTATCAATACAATAAGTAGTGATGTGATTGTCCGATCCAAACACCAGAGTTCAACAGTTTACATAAGAATAATGTGCAACTCGGGAACGAGCCCATAGATTGTCGGGTGCAGCAGCTCGATACGATTGGTATATGTGTCCCTTGTTGGAAAAAAATAGCTTACTCACGTCACAAAATTAAGGAGTCAGGGGGGTGGCCATCAAATCAAGTGAGAGCACCTCCAGATCTTGGATGTTTATCATTGTCACTGTGGCCATGTCCGTTTCAGCAGCAGTCTTTCGAACATAAAAGCTATGAATTTTGCATTGACAAACCACCACATCTGCCCCAAAAAATTGCTTTACCATAGCCATTGCATTGCTACAGAGTCTCACGTTATCCAGAAGTAAGTGATTTTGTCCTGTCTATTAATTCTGAATCTCTCAGTCCAACGTCTTTGTCATTCAAATACATGAAGTCTCATGCATTGTGGCGACCCAATTGAGATTCAATGTGCTTGATTTACAAGCACAAGGAATCAAGATAAAGTTTGCAGGTAAGAATTTAAATTCTCCGCGAGACCTAATTTTAATCCACGGTTATCTTCAAGGTGTCTCTCCAAGTTAGTCAAAGAATATGTGCAACCCCATTTGCGATATCGCACAGGGGAAGCCCAGCTTCAATTTGCATATAATGCCTTGGAGCGAGGTGTTGGAAAAATGGCTGAACCAGGATTTGAACCCAGGACCTCCAAGTGATATTTGCGCCACTGGTGCTCTAAACAACTGAGCTACTCTGCCAATAGTGTGAAGGGAACAATATTCCTACTTCAACACTCCCCCGGTGCCCGAGCACTATTGGCTCTTGGGAACTCACAAAGGGGGGCACCATTTTTCCTTAAGCACTCCAGAATGCAGAAGTCTCAAACGAAGTTTCTGTCTTACAACTGTGAGTTGATGCTACCATGTTGGAAAAATGGCTGAACCAGGATTTGAACCCAGGACCTCCAAGTGATATTTGCGCCACTGGTGCTCTAACCAACTGAGCTATTCTGCCGATAGTGTGAAGGGAACAATATTCCTACTTCAACACGATGATGTTTCATCAAGCAGTACAATGCCCATATGAATGTTTATCTTGCGAATGCAAATATCCCACATAAAAAGCTATCACAAGAGTACTTTGTCCAGTTTTGTTCAATGTCTCCTAATGTGTTGTCGGGGGAACAATTTGATGGGATTTCAGAAGGCTTGTATGTAATTCTATTTGCGCTATCGAAAGTCTCCTGACCACGGTGATCTCAGCAAACCTGGGAAGTATTATCCAGCATATAATTCCCTCCTTGAACAGGATATTCTCTTCCAAATCGACCCTCATCTCTTACCAGCAGACAATCCGCAGCAGGTCCTCATCCTGTGTGGGCGCTAAAGCTAATTATTGGTGCCGCTATGACAAAAGTGGTGGAAGTGCAGCTGAACGCAAAAAGGATGAGCGATACCCACATACGTGACAAACATCTGACTGGTGAAGCCAGAGAGGATGTTAAATCTGAAATCAAGGCAAAGATACAGGCTGAATTATTTGATTGGGTGATCATGCAACCTCCAGAATGTTACACTAAGCTGCCGACAGTTTTGTTGTCGACTGCAACTGATCTCCGTCCGGGAGATCATTTCAATGTCCTTCTTTGTCCAAGGTGCAACCAGTGAGACTCGTTGATAGAGCTCTGTCATTCTTAACTTTTTTTTTTGACAGGACTCGACCTGCATAAAGACAGGCTGTGTGAAATCCTGCACACATACACAGGTGGCAAAAGCCACTGCACGTCACCTGCAATTGCCATAAGGGCATGTGTGCAGCAGTTGTCCTGCAGTTGTCCTGCATGTAACTTGCCCGCAACATGTGGTCTTGATTTGATTACATAAAACTATTCGTGTCATGTGCTGTTGTTATGTAACATGCCTGGGAGCTAGCATTGTTACCAACTGAGCCAAAAGGCCACTATGACAGGTTAATCTGTCATAGGCTTCCCAGACTATATATGCATGAGTACACACATTTTGCATGCATGTAACAGCTGTATCAAATGACATCATCTTCATAGCGGTCTAGATTTCATAGCGGTCTAGATTTTGATCACAAAAATTATTTGTCATGTGTGAGTGATGAATGACATCATAATTCACGGTCAAGCCTTGCTCGCGTGGTCAACGCATGGTGACCCAGGCCAGGGCTTGACCTGTATTTACAATTTGATGCACGCGAGTTTCTTTGTCTCTCTCATTTTCTACGTCCTTCAGTCTCTGTCTACTGCACTGGTTGAGCATTTCAATGTTTTCACCTTCTTTTTCAGTGAAAAATGTTGTTTATTTTTCAGACATTTTTCACTGAAAAAGAAGGTGAAAATTTGAAAACTTTTTCAGCACTTTCTCAATTCAAGGTGAAAAATTCGAAATAAAATAAGAAAGTGATGAAAATGTTTTGAAATTTTCACCTGCTTTTTCAGTGAAAAATGTGTGAAAAATAAACGACATTTTTCACTGAAAAAGAAGGTGAAAATTTTGAAATGTTCAACCAGTGCTGCCGACACAACTTTTCTTCACGATATGCCTCTTAAATCCAAATCTTCCTCAAGTTCCAAGAGAAAGCGCGGAAACTCGCCTCCAGGGCAAGGTTCTGCTAGGTCCTCCAAATGCCCGAGAGGGCCTATGCCTCCATCTGCAAAGAAGGCAAACAAAAGCCAATATCACCTTTCAAAGGCTGATGTTCCAAATGATCAGAAGTCACTCCAGGTGCACTACTTTGTCTTTGTTCTTTGTCTTCAATCTGATAAATCATTTCAGAATGCCATGAATTTACATATCCGCAGTTTGTTGAATGCGACCAGCTCTTTGGATGTGCCTGCCATCCCCAATGCTGCTACCATTGCTTCCTTTCAGCAGATGTTCAGTTCTGCTCAGGACATCCATAACCACGCTGCCAACATCAGTGACAATCACCAGGACACCACGGCCAATATCACAAAGCTACACAGCGGTGTGTTGCAATGAGATCACCAGATGGAAGCCGAAAAGGCAGATATAGCACCAGATGGAAGGCGAAAAGCCCTGTCACATTGTCACACCATGACTAAATATGTGACAGAGTACAAATAAGGAAGGCGGACCCGTCTGAACCAAACACTACCAAACCCCACTTCAACACGGTGCAGCTCTTCAGCCTGGCAGCACTATTGCGAAAAATATTGCACAGGTTGACGATCACATTCTCCACACCATCTTTTTGTTAGAATCAGGCAAGCACAGTGGTCTGAGTCAACAGTGAGAAACTCGAATTGAAGAGAGAGACAAGACAACTAACCTGAGTCAACAGTGAGAAACTGGGGACTCAGGCTCTACACTAGGCTACTTATATATACAATGGCATAGCAACAATCAGACACCATGGAAACCATCAGGTCCATCAGGATACTGATGATACTACAATCAGACACCATGGAAACCATCAGATCCATCAGGATACTGGTGTTCACATGTCTAAACTAAGTGTCCATGAAAACACAACAAGACAAATGAGAATGCTGGAAGTCCCACACTTCAACACTCCCCCTGAATGAGAGCAGTCTCATTGTCTCCCCCTTAATCCCATCATGTCTCGAAGTCGTTCCACCGCTGGCTTGGGCAGTGCTTTGGTCATGATATCTGCAAGTTGATCCTCAGTCGGAACATACTTTACATCAATCACACCAGCTTCAACCTGTCCACGAAGCCAATGGTGCGCAAGGTCAAGGTGACGCATGCGACCATGGTGCTCTGGATTCCGAGCAACAACAATGGCAGACTGATTGTCCATGAGAAGAGACGATGCACCGGTCAAACCGTACTCTAGCTCTTGAAGTAAATGTCGCATCCATACAATCTCCTTGCCAGCATCAACTCCTGCAACGTACTCTGCCTCTGTAGTGGAAAGAGACACAGTTGTCTGCAGTTTGCTTCTCCAGCTCACTGGTCCACCAGCCATCATCACAATGAAACCACTGGTGCTTTTCATGGTGTCTTTATCACCACCATGATCAGCATCAGTGTACGTGAAGAACGACTCGTCAGGGTCGACGTAGGTGGT